GGAAGACTGAGGCTGTTTCAGTTTGTATTTGGGGGTTAGCTGTGAGTGGGATGATGTGGGCACAGGCACGTTGTAGCCTGTTCGGACGGGTATGGGTTGCTTTTGCTAGGTCTTGTTGAGAGCAAAGACGTTACAATCTCTTGTCATTCCATTCGCCTTACTTGCAGATCTAATATTGCCTAGATTGTCGATCCGGTTTTTGGTTTGTTGGTTTGTTTGCCCCTGCCTCTTCCTCCTGAGTCGTGCGCCACCACTTCCCGGCTTCTCAGTAGACGTTTATGCCCCTAGAATATAGAGAGCGCAGTTGCTCTCAACATGTATGCATTTTCATTCATTAGCCAGTGTCTTCTGTTTTGCGTTAAAAGTGTGTATTTCTCAGGTTTTATCTATTCCTTGAACCATTTAAATGAGTGAATTCGGGTGCCTGCCTGTCAGTGGTCATGGAAGGGCTAAAGTAATATTTGAGACATTTCTCTCTAAATGCATTGGTTAAACGTGCAGCGAGGTTGTGTGATCTGGCTAAGCTTTGAGCAGGTTTTTCACTGAATACTTAAAAACTGAACGGGACTTAATACAAGACATCGTAGCTTAAGTAAATCTTAGGGTGAAGAAACTAACGAAATTTTAGTTCTGTGAATTGGATTGGCTCCTTTTCCTCTTTACCCCAAGAACGGGGAAGAAGGAAACAGTGAGTTTGTAAACCTGTTTCTGGAAAGCATGTTTTCTCTTGCTACAAAGTGATTTTAGGGAGATGAGCTGCTCGTGGAGCATCACTATGCGACATAGTATTTCTGGTTGTTTACAGTCACTGAGATGTTTTAGATGAAGTTGAAATACAGAAGGAGATGACTCAAAAAGGCGGAATTAAGTTGGAGCCTGTAATTCTGGCACTTGGACTGCCTTCATCGTCTGTCTCAGTGACGTAATACTGGAACAGACAGTAAGTCTTTGGGTATAGTAAGAATCTATCTTTGAGGAAGGGCCTTTGTATCAAGGGTTTCGAGAACCAGTGTGCTGGCTCTTTGTACAAATGACAGTATGAAAGAAGTATGCAAAAAAAAAGAGAGCCTTTGAAAAACATCAAGAC